TCAACGTAGCAGCACTTATCTCAGCTCCTCCGTTTCTTGTGTCATCCCTCCTCCTTCTGAATTTTGTCCTTAGGTAAATGCTGCCCTTTTGATCTCGAATGGCTGACTATTCTATGGTGTCCGGTACTGTAGGATCAGCAATTCAAATCCACCAACAGCTCCGAGAAACCCTATACAGGGTCACTATTAATAGGAACTGACTTGACACCACTTAAAAAACATTAACAACGTATCTATCTACTGCTTAGCTAATAGGGATGATGTGACTAAATCTTTAAGGAGGCAGACAGCTTCATTTTTCTCCACGGTGTGGCCTGTGAGTTTGAACTGCCAACGTTAGCCCAACATATAACCCACAGCACCAGCAGGCCTCCTTAAGGGTATAGATTGTTGTTGTTAAGTGCCGTCGAGTCAATTCCAACTCATAGTTATAGCGATCCTGTATGGGGTTTCTGAGGAGCGGCTGGTGAGTTAGACCCGTCGACCTTGTGGTTAGCAGTCCAGTGCTTATCCTAGGGTACCACTAAGGGAGTATAAAACTAAAACACTATAGGAATGCGATATATGTGGTCACTACTATATGAAAACCAATTAAAATAAAATAATCCCAAACTTTACTTTGGCAAACAAAAGCAAGTTCTCCGACAACCTCCTACCCCTATGTTCTCCAATATACTAAGCAGTGATAGCTAGAAACTAAATGTGTCATTTTCTTCCTCACAAGCCCTTTTTTTCATAATATTATATGCTCTGTTTGCAGAACCAGTGTTTGTATCTAAGAAAACTGCTTCTGAGATCTTTGCAAATCGATTTCCTCAAAACATAACAGAACCAAAAGATTCTACACAAAGTCTCTTCAGACAGAAAATTCCGTATGTGACTCACCTTTATCAGGTAAATCTCAGAAATTTTAACTTAAGAGGAAATATGGAAATATTCAACTGTTGCAGGGTTTTATTACTTTCACATTGTTATTGGTTCTCTTTTTATGTTAAGACCAAAAAAACTTATGTCTTAGGAACAATGGAAGAATTCCTGAAGGTTTTGTATGCTTCATTTAAAAATGTGAATGGCATATCAGCTACCAAACAGCCATGCACTAGAATACTTATATGGATGAGCCCACCAGGACTAGGTATCCTAAAACATGATTATATAGTACTGATAGAAATCTCATCTTCTAACCCCATTTTTTAGGAAGATAGCTAAGAAACAAATTCCTTAGTACAAAATGAAGTAAAATGAAAACAATGTTGTTATTGTAGTAAAAAGATGGTGTTAAGTAGTTAAGGAGCTCTGGTAGCCTCGTGGTTACAAATCAGGCTGTGAACCACAAGATCAGCAGTTCGAAACTACCAGCTGTTCCACAGGAGAAAGATGAGGCTTTCTGCTCCTGGAAAGATTTACAGCCTCGGAAACCCTGTACGGGGTCACTATGAGTCGAAACTGACTCCACAGCACATAACAACAACAATGTAGTTGAGGGTGGCAAAGCCCTTATGCAACAGACCAGCACAGTACACCCATCCAGGCTTCCAATACTCCTTGTTACAATGCCACTAAAAATAGTCCTTAATCTTTCTGGCCCCTGACTAGCAGTTTAGTGCAGCAGTAGATAAAATTTGATAGATGGGGGATTTTCCCTCTTCATCCAATCAGAATCAATTCATCCAAAGGGTGAGGCCTTCAGCTAAATTAAAAAATTATTTTGAATATGATTATGACAAGAACCAGTCTTCTCTCTTCAGCTCTTTGATTCCAAGCCTACATGAATCTGAACCGTTTCCAAAAAGTATACTTGTCCTCCAGAAGTGGCTATTTTTCTTTTTAAAAACTTTTTATTGTGAATTGGATAGAGGTTTACAGAACTATCAGTTTTCCATTCAATAATCCATATACATTGTTTCATCTCATTGTCTGCAATGCCCACAATGTAACACCACACATTCCACCTCCTCCCTGGATTTCCGGTTTCCACTGCTCCTTCTTTCCTAACTCTTTGGAACTTTGTCCTTGGGTAAATGTTGTTCTCTTGATCTCAAATGGCTTAGTATTCTAAGGGGTGAGTACCTCACTAATATTATTTTTCCCCTTATAGACCAGTCTACTGTTTGGCTAAAAATTGAGTCATAGGACGTAAGGGTCATAGTCTGAAGGACATAAGGGTCATAGTCTCAGGGGCTCCACCAGTCTCTATCCAACCAGTAAGCCTGGTCTTTTTAAGATTTTGAGGGGTTTTTTATTCCACCTTTCCCCCCCACTCTGTCTAGAACCTTCTAATGTGATCTATTTCAGATTAACTGTAGCAGTAGCCAGGAACCATCTAGTTTTGGTCTCAGGTTTATAGAGACTGATGTTTGTGTGGTCCATTAGTCCACTGGACTATTTCCATGTGTCCTTGATTCTCTTCACACAATTTTCCTCAGATAGGCAGAAACTAGTAGATATACCTGACATGGCTGCTCTAAAGCTTTTAAGAGCCCAGCAGAAGTGACTGGTTCTTAACACTGTTATTGAGAGAGACTAAATTGAGATACCACAGAATCAATTTTCAACATGATAGTCTCAACAAAGACTTGTTTAATCAAATGAATAGTCTAATTCAGAAAAATTCACTTAAAACTGCTCTAATGCTCTATGTTTGTTGTATGCTGTAGTTAATTATGGCTCATACTGAGCTTACAGGATAGAGTAGAACTGCCCACAGGATTTCTTGGGCTATAAAGCTTTATGGGGGCCGATCGCAAGGTCTTCTCTCCCCCAAGCAGCTAGTGGGTTTAAACCTTGGACCTTTTGGTTAGCAGCCCAGTGCTTAACCATTGTGCCAACAGGTCTCCTTCTACCACTAGATAACCACATCACTGTTCATTAGGTTGTTGTTATGTGCCGTCGAGTCAAATTCGACTCACAGTGACCCTATTCTGAGGGACAGAATAGGGTGTGAACCGCCAACCTTGTGGTTTGAAGTCCAGTGTGTATCCTACAGCGCCATACCTAATCCCATAATCCTTTTACAGAAAAACAAATGTTGAAAAGAGGTACATGTAACTAGAAACCAAGTTGCATTCATTAAAACAAAACTCACCACCATACCATGAATTCTCCTAAAATGAGTACAGTACTAGTGCAATTAATGCTAACATCTATCTAGTCCTGGTATGGTGCTGTAGGCTGAGTACAGGACTGCTGGTCACAAGATTGGTAGTTCAAATTCACCAGCCCTTTCTTGAAAACATGGTCACTATGCGTTAGAGCTAACTCCACGGCACACACCAACTTAAAATAACAAAAATCCATCCACGTTTCATCAGACATGTTTTAAATGGAAGGAAAAATTGTGAATGAAAAGAACTTTGAGTAACTAAATTAAAAGTAAAGAGAGCTCAAGGAAAAAAAGATACAATTAGTTTATATATTTCCTACAGGCAACTGTAAAGATCTCTAGTTTCTGTACATCATACCACCCCCCTCTGCCCCTCCCAATGACAACCCACCCAGAAAAACTTCTTGTAAGGATGTGACAAACTAAATATCATTCTGGATTATCACACAATCTGAGGTTAATTTCAATTTCTCCTTGGACTTTCTACTGAATGCTCTAAACAAATGTTTTTTGAAACAAGATCTCTATTATAACCAACCTACAATTATTCAAGATTAGTTACTCAAGTTAATAAAACAAATAACTTTTTTATTCACTCCAGATTCTAAATTAGTCTCAGCTTTTAGTAAACAAGGAGTATGCAAATTCGAATTCAAGTATTTGGGACTCTGAACAACCAAAAGACTAAGTACTTACTAATTTTGAGTTTAGTGAGAGAAAGGCGATCATGTGTTCACCCATAATGCTGATCAAGTGTTAACTACAAATTCCTTAACTGCTTTAGAAGTTGTTACTACTCTATTGCCTAAGGAAACTTTGTAATACTTCCAGAGACCATGTCAAGCCAGGGTTTAAATTTCTTACCAGGTAATTCAATGCAGTTGCTTATATTAACTTCCAGTGAGGTCTGCTACTAAAAAATGGGAAGATCATGGAAGCAAAGTTATTTTTTAACAGTAACCCCTCCCCCAAATTCCCAAAATCAATGGGTTGTCTTAGCCTTTTATAAATAAGGACGTGAATTTTTGGCATCTTCCTACTGCCAACATTTTCATTCCTTATCTAAAACGTTTACTACCCAGATGCTCTATTCCCGGCGATTAGTTTGCATTCAGCGCATTTACAATGCCTACTACTGAAACTGGAGCTCTGGTAGCGTACTGGTTACGAATCGGGCTGCGAACCGCAAGGTCAGCAGTTCGAAACTACCAGCTGCTCAGAGGGAGAAAGATGAGACTTTCTGCTCCCATAAAGATTCACAGCCTCGGAAACCCTGAAACCCTGTTCAGGGTCGCTATGGATCGGAACCGACTCGATGGCACTTAACAACTACTGATACTACCAACTACTGCAGTTCCCTGGGGGCTGCACTCTTTGACCCCCAAAATGCCCACAGGAAGAACTACCCCAAATCCACAATCAGCTCAGTAACTCTGTCCCTGCAAACAAAGCTCGTGATGGCTGGCGGCCGTGCGCACACCTCCTCCAAGTGCTGCGGGACCTGGACCAGCCGCCAGCCCACACAAGCTTATCACGAGAGCAGCCCCAGGCTCTGGGAGATTAGTACTGTCCGGGAGGGGCCCTGTCCTAGCCAGCCCAAGCAAACCTGAGCCTTACAAACTGGACAAGCTCGTGAGGGGTGCACAGAGCGGGAGACAAGTCCCTAAACATCATCAGGAATCAGGGGTCAGGCAGAGAGAGTCAAGGAGGTCCTCGCACATGCCTGGCAGCCCAATGGATAGCACAAGAAGGCACTGGTGCAGGTAAGTAGAGGTCTGGCCTCTCCGCCCTGAGGCTCTCTAGGAGGTCGCCAATTTAGGGCGCAGATGCACAAGTACACCCACTGCCACCCACAGCCCTCAGTCGCTCGGCCCTCAGCTCCCACTCTACTGCTCACCGGTGCTGCAGCCCAACGAGTCCCAGGGTGATCACATGCGGCACATCTAGCTGCGTGGGCCACTCTCCTGAAGAGATGCAGCCGAACACGCCACATTCTTCTCGGATCCCCAACTCCTCTAGCTCCATCTCGCCGCCAAAAGCACGTGGCGGGACTTGCCGCCGCCGCCGCCGAGGTCCACGCGCCAACCAGCTGCCTGCTCGGCCCTGACGCCTCAGACGCTTAGATAGCCGCTTCCTTCCCAGCGGCTACACGCCCGCTACTGCGGCGGCGCGGGCTTTCCATAAGCGGGCGTGGTTGATTCGCCCCCCTCGACCCAGCGCCCTGCCCCGCCTTCCTAAAATTTACCAATGAGCGCAGGGAGAAAGAGAGGGCGGTTCCGGGACAGGCCAGGAGGAGGAGTGGGATGGAGCTAGTGTTCCGCTCGGCTAGTCCCAAAGCTGAACAATTAATCCTCTGTAGTTGGAAACGTCCGTTAGCTCAAAGCCATTATGATAACAATGGAAGCGAGCAGTTAGGTCTTTCCTTTCCCAGAGGATGTACGCTTGGTATGGGCCTCTCCACATGATTTCCCCTCGTAGCTCCCACTTGGTATGCTCCAACCCCTCCAGCCACAGAAACAAGCCCCGGTGGGCGAGCTAACGTAGTGTGGGGAGGGACCGCTAGCGCGCGCTACTTTTGCATTTCCTGCTACGGCGCTCACGCGGGGTGGAGGGGCAGTCTGGAGGCGGGGAAGCGCCTGCGCGGCGGGAAGGATCACAGAAGTGTTCCGGAGATCTGAGTAGAGTCGGCTTCTCTGGGTAAAGCACTTCGGGTTCGTACGCCGCGAGCAGGCGCAAAGGGAAAAGCAGCCGGGGTAGGGGGCGTGTCTGTCGTGAGCACCTCCCTTAGCGCTTGCGAAGCTAACGAACCTGTCCTTTTTTCCAGAATCCTGCTTGTGTGCCTAGCGTGGTCACTGCCCCCGGTCTACCCAAGACAATGGCGGCCTCTGAGGGTGAGTAACAGACCACGGGGTTCGCTAGGGGCCGCAGGTTTGAAGACCCCTCCCTTCCCTTCATGGTTTTCCCACCCGAGGCCCTGGCTGTCCCCACCTCCCGGGCAGTGCCTGGCCTCCCTCTAGGCCTCCCCGCGCGCGGACACGTGGCCCAGGCGCTGGCCAGCGATGACTCCTGTACACCCCCTCCTGGCAGAACCCGGGCCATGTGAACTCAGCTCTGTGGAACAACTCCTAATTGTCTGAAGCTTAGTACTTACTGCCTCTGGGTTGGAGAAAAAGAGCAGCCCGAGGAAAAGAATGCTTGAAACTAGAAGTGGCAAGGGACTGGAGAGATGCCCTGAAACATCACTTTTATATTTTAAATTTTAAATCAGTAGGTGCTGCAAACAATCACATGAAGATTACTGTTGACTCTTAAAACCAGTCTTTTTTTCCTGTGCTAACAACTGAACCTTCTGAAAATCCTGGAGAAACCTTTCCAGTCTTGGATTTTTAATTGTTGTTTAATCTTTGGTGCTATGGTGGCTTTGGAGCTCCCAAGATCTCCAAGCAAAGAAAATTTTCTTGCTTAACTTTACATTTAGCAAAATTTATTTACCCAAATTCGAACCCCTTAAACGACCATCAGGTTAATTGTGACATAACCACTCTCTAAGAAAGAGAACTGCCCCCATTGGGTTTCCAAGGCTGTAAAATCTGTCTACTGGGAACTTGTTGTTGGTTCCGATTCATAGCGACCCTGTCACAGCGTTTCCAAGAAGCGGCTGGTGAGTTTGAACTTCCGATCTTGTGGTTCAAATCAACCTTATGATTCAATGCATTATCCCACAGCGTCCCTCCAGGGCTCCTGGCATTTGATCACTGTTTGGGTTAGCAGCGAGAGCTTAACAACTGCAGCTCAAGTGCGCCTTTTTAAAAAAAAAACAATCATTATTACTTGTCCTAATCATTTAAAGGAGTCCTGGTGTGGCGCTGTGGGTTAATACGCCAGACTGCAAAGCCGTTTGAGCAGCAAGGTCGGCCGTTCAAGCTCATCACCTGCTCCTAGGAAACCCTATGCAGGGTCTCTATGGGTCAGAACCGACTCAACGGCACTTAACAACAATCATTTAAAGGAGTCCTGGTGTGGCGCTGTGGGTTAATGCATCAGACTGCAAAGTCGTTTGAACTGCAAGGTTGGTGGTTCAAACTCATCAGCTGCTCCTTGGAAACCCTAAACAGCGTTGCTATGGGTCGGAATCGATTCGATGGCACTTAACAACAACAATTATTTAAAATGTTTATGACATTTAGGCTAATAAAATGTTTGCTTACTCCGCACACAATTTCTAAATTTATGGTGAGCGAAACTGCTTGTGTTGACTGGTCAGTACATTTTTTTCCCTGTAGAAAAATTGAATTTAGATTAAAAGGTGGTGAATTCAACCAAGAGATCCACATAATGTTGAGTGATAACTCTATAAAACCAAGGTATTGAGGGAGGGGGGAAATCAAGGTGTTTGACCAGAATTTTTTCTTTTATTGGGATATCTGAGAAGCTGATTATTGTTGTTGTAAAGTGCTGTTAAGTCGAATCCGACTCAGCGACCCTGTATAGTGTTTCCAAGGTTCAAGCTGGTGAGCTTGAACCACCGACCTTGCAGTTCAAACGACTTTGCAGTCTGATGCATTAGCCCAGAGCGCCACCTTTGATTGCAATATCTGAGAAACTGATTATTGTTAGGTGGTGAAAAGTCACTTCCAATTCCTAACAACACAATCCACAGCAGAAGGAAACATTGCTCAGTCCTGCACCATCCTCACAGTCATGGCTATTTGAGCCCATCGTTGCAGTCACTGTATTCATCCATCTCGTTGGGGGTCTTTTTCACTAACCGGTAGACGGAATTGTGCCCCAAGTACAATAACTTGTTTGGACCATGATTCTCAGTGGCTTGGCAGTTGTATAATGACGTCATCATCCCATAATGTGATCAGCCCTGATCTGATTTAAGGGGCAATACCCTTAATTGTTGTTCTTGTTAGGTGCCATTGAGTTGCTTCTGACTCATGGCAATCTTTTGCGCAACAGAATGAAATGCTGCTGAGTCCTGTACCAGTCTCACCATCTTAATTGTTAAGCTGGAGCCCACTGCTGTTGCCACTATACCCATCCATCTCATTGTGGGGGGTCTTGCTTATTTCCACTAACCCTCCATTTTACCTAGCATGACATCTTTCTCCAGGGACTTGTCCCTCCCAATAATAACATCTGAAGGATAAGCGATTTAGTCTTGCCATCTTGGCTTCTAAGGAATATTCTGGCTGTACTTTTTCCAACTCAAGATTTGTTTGTTCCTCTGACAGCCGATGGTACTTGTAATACTCCTCTCCAATACTGTAACTCAAATGCCTCAGTTCTTCTACCTACTTATTCCTTATTCACAGTCGAACTTCACATGCATGTAAAATTATTGAAAATAACATGGTATTGGCCAGGTGCACGTTAATCCTCAAACTGACATTTTTGTTCTTGAACACTTTAAAGAAGTCTTGTGCCGCAGATTTGCCTAATGCAATGTCATTTGATTTCTTGACTGCTGCTTCCCTTTGTGTTGATAGTGAATCCAAGCAAAATGAAGTCTTTTGTAGCTTCAATTTTTTTCTTCATTTATTATAATATCATTTATTGAACGATTGTTGAGGATGTTTGTTTTCTTTACATTGAGGTACAACTCATATGGAAAGCTGTGGTCTTTGATCTGCATCAGTAAGTATTAAGTCCTTTTTTTCATTCAGCAAACTAGGTTGTATCATCTGCATATTACAGGTTGTTAATGAGTCTTCCTCCAATCCTGATGCCACGTTCTTCTCATAATCCAGTATCTTGGATTACTTGCTCAGCATAAAGATTGCGTAAGTATGGTGAAACAGTACAATCCTGATATACACCTTTCCTAAAGGTTCCTCATGAGCACCATTAAGCGTTCATGAATACTCGTTCTCTACAATGTCTGTAGCTTATCATGATCCACACAGTTGAAGGTTTTTGCATAAACAATAAAGCACAGATGACCATATTTCTGATATTCTCTGCTCTCAGGCAAGATCCATATGACGTCAGCAATAGTGTCCCTCGTTCACGTCCTTGTCTGAATCCAGCTTGAACCTCTGGCAGTTCCCTGTCAATGTACTGTTGCAGCCATCTTAAAATTATCTTTAGCAAAATTTTACTTGCAAATGATAATGATGATATTGTCCAATGATATCCACATTCCGTTAGGTCACCTCTTTTTATAATGGGCACAAATATGGCTATCTTCTAATCAGTTGTCCAGTAGCTGTCTATCAGATTTATTTGTATAGGTGAGTGTCTCCAGTGCTCCATCAGTTTGGTGAAAGATTTTAATTTGTATTACATCAGTTCCTAGAGCCTTGTTCTTTCCAATGCCTTCAGTGCACCTTGGATTTCTTCCTTCAGTACCATTGGTTCTTGATCATATATGCTACCTCTTGAAATAATTGAACTTTTTTTTTTTCTGTCTTCCTTCTGTCTTCTTATGCTTTCTGCATCATTTAGTATTTTGCCCATAGAATTCTTCAATATTGCAAATCAAGGCTTGATTTTTCTCTTCAATTCTTTGAGCTTGAGAGATGCTGTGGTTTCTTTGAGCTTGAGAAATGCTGTGGTGCTGGAAGCTATGCCCCTGGTGTTTTAAATACCAGTAGGGTACACCCTTGCTGGCCAGGTTTCAGCTGAGCTTGTAATCTAACACAGACTAGGAAGGAGAGGCCGACTACTTCTGAAGGTTAAGCCCTGAAAACCTTATGAATACCCTTAATTTGTTCTGTTTCATTTGTTTGTTTAATCCTATTTACTTGATTTATACTGTTTCTCCAAGAAACATTATATATGACTAATAGAAATACAGTGTGAGCCACAGCTATAATTTCTTTTCTATTAGAAATAGAAACAGGTGAAATTTTAATGTTTAATTTACCTCAGTATATCCCAATATGTTGCATGTGTGGGCAGAAACCCTTCTCATTCTGCTGAGCCCGCTGCGTGCCACTCTTCTTGGAATCCTGGTGTGGCACTGTAGGATAAGCACTAGACTCGTAACTGCAAGGTCAGTGGTTCAAGCCCACCAGCCGCTCCTCAGAAACCCAATACCGCGTCACTGTGAGTCGATACAACAACAACAATAGCAATCTAAAATACTGGGTGGCTCTGCAGGATAATCCCTGTGCTGTGAAGTTGCTCTTTGAGAGAAGATAAGACTTTCTTCTTCCACAAAGATTTACAGTCTCAGAAACCCTGTACAGGGGTCGCTATGAGTTGTAACTTGATAGCACTTAAACAACAACAACAACATCAAAAATACCTCAATATATCCAAAGTAACTGTCATTTCAACATGTGACTGCCATAAAAATTGAGGTATTTGTGTCACTTCTCTGTGGAAGTTCTTTATGTTTCAAGACTCTACAATTCTACACTTTGGACCATTCCCTGTTGTCATCAGCCTCATCTCAATTCACCTTTGCATTTATAGAAGTCATTTTGACACTTGTAGCGTTTGTCTCCTATGATTGTTTATTTTTATCTATTAAAATTCCTACCCTATCTATTAGCTGCCTATTAAATTACTGGTTGGACGAGGGGGAAGTGGGTGCAGATTTTCCTTTTCCTAGGCTTCATTTGACCTTATATATTTAAATTTTTATTTTGTTAACTTGTGCAGCATTCTTGACTCTACCCTTTCATCTCCCATATTAAATCAGTCACAAAGTTATAAACGTTTCTTTCTTTTAAATACCGTTTGTTTGCCTGTTGCTCTTTCTTTATAAGTATGCTGTCCCGTTGATACTGATCAGCAACTCTGTGACAGAATAGAATTGGCTCATTGTGCATATGGGAAAGACAGAGAGAATTGGGTGAAGGTTTACAGAGCACATCATCAGTCTTTTATTCAGCAAATCATAACACACTTGGTTTGATCTCACTGATTGCAATCCCCTCAAGGCAGCATCACTTAATCCACTTCCTCCCTATGTTTCTTGTTTCCATTCATCCTTTCCTGATCCATCTGAACTTTGTCCTTGGGTAAATGCTGTCCTTTGGATCTCAAATGGTTGACCATTGTATGGTGTGTTTACTTCACTTAGTGTTCCCTCCTGTATACCTGTCCATGAGTTGGAAATGACACGATGACATCTAGCAACGAACAACAAATATACCTTTATCAACTCGCAACAAACAACAAATACACCTATATCAACTCACAGCGACCCTGTATAGGGTTTCTGAGGAGTGGCTGATGAGCTTGAACCGCTGACCTTGTGGTTCAAACCAACCTTGCAGTCCAGTGCATTAACCCGTAGCACTCACAGGGGTGAGTTCAGTTCCAGAAGACCTTTTCAACTCCCGTATTAAATCATTTGCCATAGTCTCATGGTTCCACCAGTCTATATGACCAGTTTTGGTTTTGAGTGTTACTCTGCATTTCCTGCCTCTCTATCCAGAACCTTTTAATGTGATCCCTTTCAGAGCAGTGGTAATGGTAGTAAGTAGCCAGTACCATCTAGTTTTTCAGGTCTCAGGGTTGAGGAGACTGATGTTAGTGTGGTCCATTAGTCCTTCGGATTGTTTCCAAACATCTTCACTTTGCATCACTTTTCTTTCTTTCGAACAGAGAGAGACTAATAGTAGCATCTTAGATGGCCACTCTGGCCCATTGTGTTTTCTAGACTTAATCTTTACAGAAGCAGAGCACCAGACTTTTTTCTCCTGATGGATGAGTTAAAACCACTGACCTTTTTGTTAGAAGCCAAGCATATAATCATTTTGCCATCAGGGTGTTTTCATTAGGCCAGGACATTTCTTGCTGCTGCTTCATCCTAACTGTTCTCCTAAACTCTTCTTTTGTTCCACCCATTCCTTTCTCACTTCATTCTCCACACACCAGATATGATGATCTTTCTAAAATACAGTTCTGTCATTTCACTGCAGTGCATGAGAGCTCCATGGTTGCTCTTAGGATAAAATCTAAACTCTAGATACTTCATTAAAAGGGTGGAGAGTCATTGAGGGACCTTAAGTTAAGTATCCTGCAATGCCAACTGTGTAACTGAATTGTAATTGATTTGTTTAATGGTTATTTCCATGAACAGGTCATCTAACCTCAGTCTTATCTCTTGCTATTCCAGTCCTTTCCACTCCCCTGCCCAGCGTACACATCTCTGGTTCTCCATTGCTCTAACTATATTGACTTTCTGTCATGTATTCTTTCACCCCCTGATCTTTATTCACCACTTATTCCTTCCTCTCAAGCATAGCAGCCATTGTGTGGATGGCGCAGGACTGGGTGGTGTTTCATTCTGCATAGGGTCACTGTGGGTCAGAGCTGATTCAACAGGACCTAACAACAACATTCCTTCCTGTTGGGAGTAGGGTAGTTCCATATGATAAGCACTGGACTGTGAACCACAAGGTCCTCAGTCTGAGCCCACCAGCTGCTTCTTGGGAGAAAGATGAAACTTTCTGCTCCCAAGAAGATTTAAAGCCTCAGAAACCTGATACAGGGTTGCTATGAGTTGGAACTGACTAGACGACACATAACAACAACATTCCTTCCTCTCTCCTAGGTAATTTTGACCATTCTTGGGATCTCCACCTATTATTACTTCCTTCTAGACATCCTTCGCTGAAGTGTAACCTAGGTTAGGTGCCATTTCATAGTCTGTTATATAGGCTTTGAGTTATGCTTATTGTGATGTCTTGTTTAATACCAGCTTCCCTCAGCCTCAGGTCTCTTGAAGACAGGAACTAGGGCATGTTTTCTGGTATACCCCTGTAGCCCCAGTACCTAGCAGTGTACGCATTGAAAAACTGCTGATATACAATGAATGACAAAGGTTCAAGGAGCCTGAAGGGTGATAGTGATTTCTCCCCTTGACGTTTATCTTCTGTTATCGATGATCTCATCTAATTCATTCTTTCTGATGACTTAGGCAACAATTGTGTGGTTGGCCCAGGACCGGGCAGTGTTTCCTTCTGTTGTGCATAGGGTTGCTATGAGTCGGCACCAACTCAATGGCGCCTAACAACAACAGCAAACATAAACAGTGACCTAGGGTCTACATTTTCTTTAGTTCTTAGGTTTTACATCAAAATTATCCCCACTCCCTCAGTTTCCTAAAACTTGTAAAAAGGGGGACATGCTTAAGAAATGCAGTGGTTGGTGGGAGGCTTCCAAATAGGCTTTTAAGAAGAAGCAAATAGTGCCTCCTCGTGTAATGAGCTTAAAATCAAGTAACCATTTCACTGAATTTTTCTAGTTTGCCTTCCATGAAAAGAAGTCAGGAGAGCGAGTTATGTGTGTTGTTTTTTTTTTTCCCCAAGCAAGCTACTTTAGATATTGTATTGTGAGTGTGTGTATGAAAATACTACTGTACCTCCAGTACTTCAAACACATTTGGGTGTGGTTTAATTCTTAGTTCATTAGTGAAAAAGTCAGGTTAATCATAGGAAGGGCACAAATTTTGGTATCAAGACAGGAATTTGACCAGTTCTTTCTTTTTCAGTGTTACTTTAACCTTTCTGATAATTACTTTTCTCATTTCTGTAATTTATATAATTTCAATTCTTCACAATTTTATGTGAGTTAAATGTGATGTTGTTATTGTTAAGTGCCGTCGAGTCAGTTCCGACCCATAGCAACCCTGAACAGTTTCTGAGGCTGTAAATCTTTATGGGAGCAGAAAGCCTCATCTTTCTCCTGCGGAGCAACTGGTAGTTTCGAACTGCTGACCTTGCAGTTCGCAGCCTGACTTGTAACCACTACACTACCAGAGGTCCTTTAAATGTGATGATGTATGTGAAAATACTTTGTAGAGTACAAGATTCTGAGCAGATGAGTTTATTTTTATTAGGATTATTAATCACGCAGGAGTCTCACTGATTTATCATTCAAGATGATTAATTCAACCTTCAGGGAATTTCTCCAAATATTTTTCAAATTTTTTAGCATATTTATTTATTTATTTCCACAGTTCTGAACATTGGTCAAAAACTCTATGAGGGTAAAACAAAAGAAGTCTATGTGTTGTTAGATAGTCCAGGAAAAGTCCTCCTTCAGTCCAAGGACCAGATTACAGCTGGCAATGCAGCTAGAAAGAATCACCTGGAAGGAAAAGCTGCGATTTCAAATAAAATTACCAGCTGTATTTTTGAGTTGTTACAGGAATCAGGTAAGTGACTACCTACTGTCTTCCTCCCACTTTCTTCTCACATTTTCCTCTCCCTTCTCTCTCACACATGCATACATTAGCTTCCTTTATTAGGAGAAGACATCATTTGGATTAACCACATGTTGTTTGGAGATATTTCACAGGCTAGGTCTATTTAAGCTAAACCAAGAACTCTTAACTTCACTGTAACTATTTATTTTGGAATTAGTGTTGCGTGATTAAAAGGAATCTAAACAATTTGTTCCTTATAAAGATTGTTAGTTTGTATCACTTTTGTGATACTTCCCCTTTCTAGGACATCTTCAGCCTTAAGAAGTTTACCTGTAAAGAAAGACTGTTTCAGTTTTTGACAATTCTAATTGACAAACTTAAATGTATTTCCTCTATAATTTCTACACAATTGTTATTTGCTCTGCTCTTTGGAGACAGTACAGAATTTCAAACTCCTCTTCTTCTTGAAACCCCTCCAAAGTATTTGAAAAGTGAATGTACTACTATTAACATTTAAAGGCTCTCCCAGTTCCTAAGTCGCGGAATCCAGAATCTTTATTTCAAAACCTCTTGAATGGTAGTTTCCCACTGGCTACCTTCTAGAGAACGCATCAAACCAATGTTAGGTTCTTTTTGCAATGAAGGCGACGAGTGTCTGGTCTGTTTTTATTCTCCCAAGTTATTTCCCACTCTCCATCCACATTAAAAAAATCTTTAAGGTATTCAATTAACCCCTTTAAAATAACAATTTAAAAAATTATTTTCTATATAATCTTAGTAGTTATGCATACCAAGGGGACTATATAGACTCCTGGTATGGCGTTGTATGATCACCACTGGACTGGGAACAATACAGTCAGCAGTTCAAATCCACCAAGCTGCTCCTTGGAAACCCTACCCTATACAGGACTGCTATGAGTCAGAGTTGACTTGATAGCACATAACAGCAGGGAACTATATAGACATGTGCACACACATGCACATACACTATTAACAGTAAAAAGATATAAAAGCCCAAACTTCTATTTGCTTATTCCTAAAGCACCAGTCTGCAGAATCAGTTTGAACCACAAGGTCAGCAGTTCAAACCACTAGTTCCTCCTCGGAAATACTACACAATATCACTGTGAGTTCAAAATGACTCCACGGCACTTAGCATTAAGAGCAAAACGCCATTTAGTGCACTTTCTGGGGTTGTAGACAAGTGATTTGGGGTAAGTTTGTTGAGTATTTTCCCAGTTTGAGGGAGCCCTGCTGACATTGTGGATTAGGCACAGTGCTGCTGACCCCAAGTTCTGTAGTTAGAATCCACCAGCTGCTACAAAAGGCTGTCAGCTGTAATAAAGATGTATGGTCTCGGAAACCCTGTTTAGGATTGCTCGCAGTTTCCAGTTTTCATTGAAAGCCCTACATTCTAGGTGTAAAAGGGGACATTTCATTGCCTTAAATGAAGCATGCCAGTAATTCTGTTTAAACCACTTTATCTGGCACACTTAACTAAAATATACTTGATTCAGAGTAAGAGTGAGAGGTGTTTTCTAGATTTTATACATGTTATAGGTGCCGTCGTGTTGGTTCCAATTCATAGCACTCTTAGTTTGAAAAAATTCTTAAGCAGATTAGCTTAAGAATCCTGTTTAGCCTTATGTAAATACTTGCTAATAGTTAAATGGAACCCTGGTAGTGCATCAGGATAAGCACTGGGCAGCTAACTGCAAGATCAGCAGTTCAAACCCACCAGCCACTTCCTGGGAGGAAGTTAAAGCTTTCTGCTCCCTTAAAGATTTGCAGCCTTGGAAGCCCTATACAGGGTCACTACCATTGGCAGTAGGTTTGGTTTTTGGTAATCATTAACTAGTATTCCTGGTGGCATAATGGTTAAAGCAACTGTTGCTTACATCCACACAATAGAATTAGATCCTAATTGCTCAAACCTAGCAGACAAACGAGACTGTATCTAATGATAATGAGATGTAAAAGAAGAAAGGACTCTGAAGTCCAGGCTCCATAGCTGATTGGCAGTGTGATCTGGCATTGTGAAATCCCTTCACTACCTGAAGCCTCTGCTGCTTTCACTGTAATAATGACCACACCAGTTGCTGTTGAGTTGACTGACCTCATGGCAACACCCCATGTGTGTCAGAATAGAACTGTACTCCTTGGGGTTTTCAGAAGTAGATCATTGACCTGTTTTCAGAGGTGCCTCTGCGTAGGCTTTGAATCTCCGACTTTTTTTTTTCTTTTAAAGTTTTATTGTGAATTATGTGACAGTTTACATGGGAGAACATCAGTTTTACATTCAATACTATCATATTGTTTCATTGCCATGGTTACAATCCCCTCCATGCATCA